TTAGATGTATCACACATACAGTGGTGTGAAAAAGTGTTGGCCCCCTTCCTGATGTTTACTTGTGTTATCTTTGACTAATATTTCAATTTGTTTGATGATCTGAAACATTGAAGTGTGACAAACATGCAAAAAAATAAGAAATCAGGAAGGGGGCCAACACTTTTTCACACCACTGTATATGTCAGTATGCCTGTGTCTAACAGGACTCAAATGGAGCTTGATCTTTTTTGGGAGATATATGCCTCAGTTACATGAAAAAGACAATGAACAATTGGCATTTTGAACAGTACTAACTATTAATGAGTAAAGATCATTTAAAAATCCAGATCTTTCAAAATTGACTTAGGGAAGTATGATTGCTTTCTTACACCATGCAATAAAAAGGTTCAATTTGGTATCATTTACACTAAGCTGGTTTACTAAGACTACATAATGTTGAAAAAAAGTCTTCTGATGCCAAATCGGAATTTGCTTCCTTCTACTTTGCTCAGTCAGTGTGTTCGTTCCAATAATACAACACCGTCCCTCATTCTTACAGAACAAACCCATTAAAACAGTAGCACCTGTGCTGGCCCTGGCAGATATAAGAGCCAAGGGAGCCTCTGGCCAGACTGCAGAGCCATTATTGTCGTTATCTCTGGAGAAAAGGGCACAGGTTCTACAATAACAGTGCTGGCGTATGGGCTCTCCGTTTCCCATAAAGAGTCTATTGAGCACAATGCTCAGTGACATTCAGAGCCTGGTGAAAAGCGGCCCTCTTTAAGGTCATCAGCTTGACTGTGTTCTCTCTCCAGGACATCTGCAGTTGGGGTATCTCTTTTTTTCAATAGTTTATGTCAGAAAATAAAATGTGCTATATGTACACTGTCATTTAAAAACAGAAAGAAATTAACAGAAAGAAAGGAATGATTCTACATTTATTCAGCAAGGACACATTCAATTGATCAATATTGACACTAAAGACAAAATAAATGCTCTTCTGAACTAAGAACTTCAAAGAATCCTGAAAAAAATATATTTTGCAGCAACTGTTTTCAACAATAATATAATAATAATAATAATTGAGCACCAAATTAGCATATTAGAATGATTTCTGAAGGATCATGTGACACTTAAGACTGGAGTAATGATGCAGAAAATTAAGCTTTGCCATCACAGGAATAAATTACATGTTAAAATATATTCAAAGTTATTTTAAACAGTTATTTTAAATTGTAATAATATTTCACAACTTTACTGTATTTTTGATACTTTTTCATCTTTTGATGGTGAGCATAAGATACTTCTTTAAAAAAAAAAAATATATATATATATAAAAAAATTTTTTACTTTTGAACAGTAGTGTAAATCGTTCAAGAATAAGAAAAAAAGAGACGTTGTCACCTTTCTATTTTTGGAGATGGAAAAACAAAGAGGAACTGGGAGACAAGATTTCATAAGTCTGAAATTTGGTGACAACATAAAACGCTTCACTGACAGCCAAACTGCTATGAGAACAACTATAAAAAACATGTGCCATCCAGTAATTCAATGAATCATGAACAAATGATGACTGCCTGGACATGATGCCTTTCAGTAAAACTAAGCTGTCCTGGTAGCGAACATTCATAAACAGCTATATCTGTGGAAAACATGTTCTATAACTGCAATAATCACAAGAGATGATAGAGATTTGAGGTTTCATGCCACAGAAGTATTTTTTTCAGGGTCTGTTGTTAAGTTCAACTGGAATTGTTCAGTTCAACTTGTCATTTTCTCACCCTCATGTCATTCCAAACCTCTATGACTTTCTTTCTTTCATGGAACACAAAAGAATGTTTTGAACAATTTTACTGGTTATTCTTTCCATGGCATTACAATGAATGGGACTCGACATTTCAAGCTTCAAAAAAGATGCAAAATCATCATAAAAGTGGTTCACATGACTTGTGCACTTTACTCCAACAGAAAATTTTGTTCTTTTGAGGCAGAGTTTTTTGGCTCACAAAATGGGCCAGATTTATTCATGAATAGGATTTTACATCTCTCATTAACTGATCTTTAATAAACTGTCTAAGGCCGTTTTCAGTGAAATTTATTCAAATGACAATTCTTTTTTTTTTTATATATGTAGCTCACACACTATCAAATGGCTATAGAAGACTTGAAATATATATTGTTAGAGTCATATTGACCCATTTTTGATGCTTTAAAATGCATTTATTAAGCCTGTAAGCTTCAGTCTCCATTCATTGCATGAAAAAATGACCAGTACATTCTTCAAAATGTTCTTTTGTGTTCCACAGAAAGAAGTCATACAGGTTGAAATGGCATGATGGTGGGAAATGACGACAACACTTTTATATATTTTTGGTGAACTATCTCAAATGAAAGGAACTAAAAGGTACAAATAAGAAAGTTGCATCTAAAGTGTCAGTTCTAACATAGTCTTTATGACTAGGCGTAATAATCTGAAAAAATATTTTTAGTGCTTAACATCTGCTCCTGAGCTACACAGCTTTTCCATGAATTCAGTGTGTTAGAAGCTGCTGTCAGGGGAAGAGTGGTGGCCCATAGATCCATTTTCCACTGGGGTTTTCCTCTTGACGCAGGGCCAAGTGTAAAAAAGGTAGACTCCCGACTGCACTGAACTTTTCTTCATATGCCCTGACCCCTGCATCTGTTGGACTGTGTTATGTCCAATGCTTCAGATAGCTGTGACACACTCACCCACCTGTGTACCAATCACCGCTACACAAATTTGGCTAGTTCCAATAATTATGTTTATTTATGCCTTGGCAACCAAAATCTAACACAGCTCAGTCTACGATATTAATTTCGCCTCAAGACAGGTTTATTTGGTGCTTGGTCTTAATTATGGAAGTGAAGACATAGGCTGTGAAGCTGAGCAAAACTTAAAAAGATTTAAAGTTCATGCAAACATTGCCTGACATTCAAAATGTAACTTTCAGAAACAATATATATATGTAGAAACTGCAAAATAAAAAATAAAACAGGCATATCAGTGCCAAAGTTATTTATTTATATAGCCTATGCTCAAATGAGGATAAGAATAGAATAGAATAGAATAGAATAGAATAGAATAGAATAGAATAGAATAGAACATGTCATCTTATTTTATATAATATAAAACTTTGAGGGTTTTGTGTGATCTCACTATTTTAACGTGAATTTTTGGCATTGTTGAATCATTGAGTTGATATGTTGAATTGTTGAGTCAGAAAGACAAGTCCTAGACTAGCATGTACTAACTAAGAGGACAAATATATTCAAACAATAATAATTTTTCATATATTTTTTTTTACTTCATGTTTTTTAAAATATAATAAAACACAATTCTGAATATAATATAAAAATATATAAAAATATACAAATCATTATTTTAAAATATACAATATATTATAATTTAAGGCATCTGCCCCGGCCTCTTGCTGATGAACATGATGCAGGATGACTGACTGCAAAATGAAGCCTTTATATGATCCTAAAATTCAAGACATGATGGCAAAAAATGGGGGTTTTGTCTTATATTTATATGAGCAAGAGCAAGTTTTGTGTTACATTTTGGACACAATATTGTCAGTATTGCCTGTTTTGTTCAGCTACACCAACAACAAAAAAATTCCAAACAAAGCCAGAGCAGAACTGTTTTTGAATGAAATGAAAATGAGCCAGTGATTCAGCGTCCAATCATAAAGACAATCACTTGCTTTGATCTGAATGAATCAGCCGTTTAAAGGGGTCATATGATGCGATTTCAATTTTTCCTTTCTCTTTGGAGTGTTACAAGCTCTTGGTGCATAAAGAAGATCTGTAAAGTTGCAAAGACTAAAGTCTCAAATCCAAAGAGATATTCTTTATTAAAGTTAAGAGTCAACCACGCCTACCTAAAACGGCTCGTTCTAACACGCCCCCACTAGGCCTGTCGCAATAATCAATATATCGACATCGCGCAATATATGTACATGACCTCAATTATTTTTGGTGACGCAATATATCGCCCATTATATTTACTTAAAAATGAATGTCACCATGTTTTTTACATTCCACTTGTGCCTGTGTCTTTTGCAGCTTATCGTACATAACGTGTAGTCATGATGAGGTGCTAGTTCAAATTTAAAAAATGCTTCTACAAAAAAAGTTTAATCTGCAGATATGGTCTTGTTTAGGGATCTGTGCCTTTGTGCATACGAACATCTGACTGCTAAGTAGGGATTGTGTTTTTCAGGAATAGTGTGCACCCTTAATTTACAGAGAAAAGAAGATCAGGGAAAAATCTGTAGATGGAAAAATCTCCATACAACTTCACGATGTCTACGTCACGATGTGGGAAGATTTTAAACACATTTCATTACACCAAATACACAAAATAATGTTCTTTTTAGCAGCATCATATGACCCCTTTAAATAAACGAGTTGAATGACTGAATGACTTGCTCAATTAGACAGTGACTTACCACCACATACTGGCATTTTAGTTTCATATTTAGAGTATTATATATATATACACACAACCACACATATATATTATATATATATATATATATATATATGTGTGTGTGTGTGTGTGTGTGTGTGTGTGTGTGTGTATTTCAATTTTCAATTATTAAATTAAATTAATGCTTAATTAATTTCACAGTATTATTTATGCAATTCTAATTGCAGTGTAAAATGCATTAATGCCACAGTTAGTGTTAATATACCTAAATGCCACTTCAGATGCAGCTTCTGAAAACAACATTATGGCCACACTGTAGCCTTAAAGGTTTGTGTGTAATAAATTCTTTGGTGAATCAATATGTTTCTTTCTAAAGCTACGTTTTTGTAATGTCTATTCAACGCTTTTCTCATTTAACACAACAATTAGGCTACTTTAAATGATCTTTTGGGGGGTAATGTCCCAGCCCAAATTGATGTGTGATTGATGTGTGATTAATTTCCGATTAATTAAATAGTGTATATTTAGACTTTTTGCCAAGTGGAAACTTCCCACATCCTACCTGGAATGACAAGGATAAGCATTTTGGGAGGGTTTGGGCCTTTGCTGTCAGCGTGCAGGTCTGTTGGTCCATATTTAAGAAGCTCTGTGATTGCACCTCTGCAGTACACATACTCTACTGAGGCATCCTCTCCAGGTCCCCCCGATCCTGGACTGCACATCACATCAACAATTACTTGCTCCACACAGTTCTGGGCCTAAGAAAAGAAACCAGACAAAAGTGACTGATTATATTATATAAAACTTACTACAATACAGCTAAACCACCAATGAGAGATAAATATCAAAAGGGAAGGTAGAATATGATCTGAAAATATGTATGAAAGCTATTTATTTTCTTAATCAGAAAAACAAGATAAATGTAACTGAGAAGCTTATTACAAGCAACAAAGTCTACTCTGTACAGTACAGATGTTGATGTGAAACAATTAAGTGTTGCCCCAGCATATCTTAGCAATACGATTACCAAATATGCAAATACAAGTTGCTGATTAAACATACAGTAAAAGACAGCTGAAAAATGTTGAATCAGTCCTTTAGTGATTATGGTCACAAGCTGTAGAAATCTGTCCCAGAATCAGTTCACAAAAAGGCAGCAGTTCTGCTGTGTGATTAAAGTCAACCTCTGACATCTAAAGACAGAATGACAGCTTGCAACACACTGAACATTGGAGTTTAGAGTCTGTTATCTTGTTAAGTCCTTTGGTCAGATCATGCAGTTCAGGCTCAACATGCATACATAAACAGCATAAGAGGATAGAATAGAATAGAGTAGCCAAAGTACGGGTAAGTATGGATAACACATTGAACATTGGAGTTGAGTTTGAACATTGTTTTGCATACAAAACAATAGAATAGAATAGAACAGAATAGACCAAAGTACAGGTAATTTACATACAAGCATCACTGACAACTTTTGATTATCTAAAATCAAAGCTTGTCATTTGATAATTTCTTATTGACACGTCTACACTGTAAAGGTCTTTAAAACAATCACTACTAAACACGTATAATGCTCATTCATTAAATCTACCTACGACTTTATACAAAAAGTTCAAAGCTTTAACACGGTTGTGACATTTGAATAACTTCACTGCGTTTCTTACCGACAGAAGATATTCTTTTGCGTGTTTGTGAGCGGAGCAATTTTGTAAGAAGAGATGTAATGACGTTTACCGGTAATTTTCCCAAAGCAGGTAACGTACTGTTAAAACCAAAACCAAGGAGCGAAACACTTCCTACTGTTTCTTCTCCTTGATGTTTCAAAGTCTGAGAACTAACGGAAGCTTATATCGCCACCTATTGTACTGTATGTACTCATTCATCTACACTAGGAAGGTTAACATAAATATTTAACATTTTTAAGGAAGCAAAAATAGAGGGGTTTAATTATATTTATGTTTATGGCATTATTTTTGTTTCTTAATTATTTCTATATATTTTTTCTGTTTTATTTATCATGGGGGATGGGGGTATTTAAATAACATTTAAAACCTGGAAATGATTAGAAATCATATTTTGTCTCAAAAATACATTTAATTAATTAATTAATTAATTAAAAGCTCTCCGATTAATTCACATTACAGGAAATAGTAACAAACAGGTGTGTATGAAAGATCTATGGTGGTGTTTGTCAGAGGTGGGGGACTCGAGTCAGACTTAAAGGGGTCATATGATGCTTTTTTAAAGATCATTATTTTGTGTATTTGGTGTAACAGAATATGTTGACATGCTTTAATGTTCAAAAAACACATTATTTTTCAAATACTGTACATTATTGTAGGTCCTCTATGCCCCGCCTCTCTAACAAACGCTTCGTTTTCTACAAAGTCCCTCCTTCCGACAAGCAGAGTCTGCTCTGATTGGCCAGCTGACCCCGTTCAATAAATATCTGTTTGTTTTTGAACGCACCGCAACCTAACCAAGTGACGCAGCAGTCAAGCAAGAGAGAGCTAATGTAAGAGCAAGGACTACTTAGCGACTTTGTCGCTAGATTTAGCGACTTTTCAGACCACTTTAGCGACTTTTTTTTCCAAAAAAAGCGCCTAGCGACTTCTTAGACAAACCTTATGTAGTTTCTGAGACTCGCCGGTACTGCCGCACGAGCACGAGTGTCACGATCACCAACTGGAGTGCCCATGAGCTCCACCAGTGGGCACTCCATCCCTGACTTTTGCCATTCCCCCTGGACAACATTCCCCATAAATCCTTTGCCGGACTCATCATCTATTGCATCACCTGTCACTCATTAGATCTCATCATCAGTTCACAGCTGTCTCACATTAGAAGGACTTTAAAAGATGCACACACTCGGACACGTCACTGGTGATTGTTTAGCCTGTAATGATTCCTAGTTTCTGTTGTCCTTCCCGGGTTTCCTTGTTTTGCCTTGCCTTGCTGTATTTTGGATCTTGGACTGTTTATCTGGTTTTTATGATTGTTTTGCTGCCTGCCCTGACCATTCCTGTTTACGGATTGCTAAACCCTGCAGGAAAGCGGCCTTCTAGGAGCAAAACTGGACACAACTGATTTAGAGAGTTCATATACTGTACCGTTCAAAAGTTTGGGGTAAGTGTTTTTTTTTTAAAGAAATGAATACTTTTATTTAGCAAGGATGCATAAACTGATCAAAAATGACAGTAACGGCATTTTAAATATTTTAAACAAATGCTGTTCTTTTGAACTTTCTATTCATCAAATAATCTTAATGTATTAAGATAATGTTATAATAATATTAAGTGGCACAACTGTTTTCAACTTTGATAATAATAAGAAATGCTTCTTGAGCACCAACAGTGTATCTAGGATTTTTAAAACCAGAACTTTTTTTAAGACTGTACAAATAAAAATTAATATCGAATGAGCAGGGTTGGCCAATATCTATGGTAACATACTAAACATACTAAACTGTAAAATGACTGTAAAAACCACAATGTCAACAAATCTACAGTTAAAATATATGCTTTCACAAAATCCAAAAGTTTTATCAAATTATAAACCTCACATTTCAGTATTTATTTATTTTGTTAAAAAGGGTGAGTCAAAAGTATAACAGATTACACTGAAATTAATTGAACATATATCTTATTACCTTAATCATTCAGATTTTTAGAATGCACATTTGTTTCGTTGATCCACTGGTTCACATTTACAACTTTGCGTGCATTCTGAATAAAAACATTTTTTCCTTATACCATTTAAGATATTTTAGTCTTTTCATGGCCTTAAATTTGTTAAAACTGAATTTAAGACTTTTAAGGACCCAAATCAGGCAAATCACCATATTAGAATGATTTCTGAAGGATCACTGTGTGACACTGAAGACTAGAGTAATGATGCTGAAAATTCAGCTTAGCCTCCACAGTGTCACGATCACCAACTGGAGTGCCCATGAGCTCCACCAGTGGGCACTCCATCCCTGACTTTTGCCATTCCCCCTGGACAACATTCCCCATAAATCCTTTGCCGGACTCATCATCTATTGCATCACCTGTCACTCATTAGATCTCATCATCAGTTCACAGCTGTCTCACATTAGAAGGACTTTAAAAGATGCACACACTCGGACACGTCACTGGTGATTGTTTAGCCTGTAATGATTCCTAGTTTCTGTTGTCCTTCCCGGGTTTCCTTGTTTTGCCTTGCCTTGCTGTATTTTGGATCTTGGACTGTTTATCTGGTTTTTATGATTGTTTTGCTGCCTGCCCTGACCATTCCTGTTTACGGATTGCTCTTTGCCTGGGATATTATTGTTTGCTGGTACTGGACCCTGCCTGTCTGACCACATTTACGAATAAAGCCTGCATTTGGATCCTCAACTCCGTTGTCACTACGCCTCCTTCGTTACAGTGAGGTTTGGTTTTCCCAGCGCGCACACGTCTCTCTATGCGTCTGCTCTGTTCAGCAAGGGCCTGAGAGGAGCAGCGCTTACAATGAAAAAAGAGATTCTGTGCTTCTCACTCTTTTACATGCAAATATAGCCGAAATCACAGCACAGCCATTGTCTTTATCTTATGTGTATTTGATTTCATTAGACGACGTTGTGAATATGAATCAGGGCTTACTCCCTCCTCTGGTGTTTGTTGCCATTTAGTGTTCTAGAAGAGAAAATCTTCATTTCTACCAAAAAAAACAAAAAACTCTATGGTGACTTTAGCCTATTAGTATGTAGTCTTTGTAGCCAACTGTATTTTCAATATATTAAGGGTAAAACACAATGTATATGTTGCGTCCTTTTTTGTGTTTTCTTTTGTTTTGGGAGGTGTTTGTGTGCCTCTGTCCAGGAAGAAGACCGATTGGTTCCTGCAGCCTAACTGGACTCCTAGTCTCCTAGCTGCCTATAAAAGCATCCTTCGTCACTTACTCCATCAGCCTTGTGCTCACCTGCTGTGTTTGCTCTGCTTGACCCTGCTAGTTAGTTACAGACGTGTTAGTAAGACTGAGATTATCTTTGTGTGTTCATTTGAGTGTTTGCCTGTGAGAAATCAATTGTTGTTTGCTTAGCCCACTCATTCGTAATACCGACCATGCATGTTCTTTGACCTTGATTCTGGATTGCCCCTATTTGGACCTGTTTGCTCACCTTGGTAAATAATTGTACATAATGTTCTGGGGAAGTAGGGTTAGGGTTAACCAACGCCATTTTTGTTGGAACCTTTTATTGATGGTTTTTGGACAGGGAGGTAGAGAAGTAATTGTATTTTCTTTTGTGAATGAGGGTAGTTAGAGGTATAAGAATTAGTTGGGTTTTGTTTGTTATTTTCCTCTTATCTCTCCCATTTATTAAATAAAATGTAACCCCATTCAACATTAATTTTGCCCATGTGTGATATTGCATTGATTGTTGTTGATAACAGATTTTGCTGTCAGGTCCTCATAGCACATTCCAATAGTTTGCATCATCTGCACAACTATGCTGGAAAGACCCCTTTGCCTGCATTAGGTCATCTGTGTATGTGTGAGAACGAGGGAGGACAAAATGTAGTTTTCCTTGAATTCTTGGGCTGCGGGAGTAAAGAAAACAAAAGATAAGGCACAGAAAAAGATGATGGAATATCCTAGTTTGATAGGAGACATGGATGCATTGCTGGACAACTGGGAATGTTGTTTCAGGCCTTATGAGAAAGTGGGTCTGCTAAATACATATTTACACTGCGCTTTAATTGTGAATTCATGCAACAGCCCCTATCACATTATGCCACTGTCATGACATTATATGACAAACACTCACTTTGACCTCCCAGAACGAGTCCGCTTCAGCAGATGTCCTGAATCACCGCCCTGATGTGAGGACTCAAAGCTGCGGGTCATAACGGCCACACACACAGCAGTGCAATACAAATACATTTACCTTTGGATATCAAATGGAATCTTTATCTAGTCGCATACTGTGAGCTTTCAGAAAGACGAATGCATAGTAACAGACTAACAGCCCTCTGATGCATGTGTATCCAGTAAGTCTCAACTGCAACTGTTTTAAATATCAGTCTTAACCATCATGAGTTCCACAGTGGTATCTGGACATAATCCATTCTTGTACAGAAATATGTTGAATCTGATTTTCTGCCGCTGTAACAGCCAGTAAAATGTCAGCACTAAATCCAAGCAAAGCACAAAAGGCTCCAACACTGGCTTAGGCAGTAATCTCAGTATTCTTTCAACAAGCTACCACAAAATCATGAGTCAATCACTGAAAGAAATGAACTGATTAAAACAGGTAAAAAATGAAGTGTTGGGAGCCAAACGGGGGAACAAAAGTTCCACACACTTTTTATTAGATCAAGATTAGTTTCAGGAAAGAGCATGCAATATGACATTATAACATTGCATGGTACCTGTGTTTTCTCATGTTGGACAGATACTGTGGCACAGACTTAGATGCAGATTTCTCATACAGAATCAGGTGTCCTTTGAGTTCTCACCTGAAAGTAAACCCATATGTAATCAACAGCCAGATTGATGTTTTAGGTCCAATACCGCAAGTGCACATGCAAGCAGACTGATACAGTGTCACCTAGCAACATAATTTAAAAGGTATTCTGGCAATTTAGCTGTTTTGGCCTGCTGGTTGTGATGCAGGCCAGTGAGACAGCTGTAAATAACGTGAATGTATAAATAATGAATTTAAATGCTTGTTCAAAGTTATTCAATTTACTAACAAGCAAGAAAAACCTTGTCAAATGTTGGTTCTCACAAGCACACACTTTAATGTATCTTGCATTCTCGCAAAAATGAGTACATACTTT